AACAAATTTTCTCATGTGAAGCCAATCACCAAGGGTTTCATGGGCCAAAGTCAAGATATTTTGCGGCGCTTGCAGCATACGCAACTGAACTACACAAGAAGCTCAGGCCTTCATTTAAGAACCAAGCCTGTGATGGGCTTGGCAGTTTTCTCATGTGTTTTTTTTTTTTATTTTTCATGAAGAAAATAAATGACATAATCTCTTTTAAAATAAACTTGTGTTGGCTCTCGAACCAGGATATCGGCGAATGTTTTAATAAAAGGCTTACTATAATGATGTTAGGTTAAGCCACCCCACCGTTAGGTTTACCCACCGCACCCTAACCAAGTTTCACCATTAGCCTTTGTCGTATCTTAGATTTTCATAGTATCAAATTACTTGACACTTTGGACAGTAGCTATTCGAAAGTGAAATCCAATTATACAATTAGGCATTACTTGGTCAGAGCTCAAAACTCCAAAATTGGCATACCCCTATCAAATTACCATAAGTTTAGGTTATTGAATAATCTCATACATATGCCTAAGGTTAACATAACTTTTGTTGTAATGCTTACCGTTTCTCAGGGATGCAGAAATATCATAGAGAGCCCTATGTGAGTGCCCAGTGGATTTTTTTTTTTTTTGACACAAGCTATCATACTAACACTCATATTTATATATTGAGTCCGTGTGTAATTGAAGGGCCAAATATTGTGTTCCCTGTGACTGCTGGTCAATTTAAGTAAGCTTTTCTGCATGATTTTCCCAATGTACACAAGCAACTGCCCCAGGCTTATTTTCTGTCTGTGGAAGTGACCTGGCTTTCTTAATTTTCTTTCTACTAAGATTACACAGACTAAAATGGTATGACTGCATTTTGGAAAGCCAAGATCTAGATTGTTCAGCTACTGCAAAAAACTAGAGCCAGCAAGATTTTGCCAGGACTTCAATGCAGAACATTAATGCAATGTCGTGATGCCTCTATTTGCAAACTTAGAGAGTCACAGAATATAACTTAAAATTGGCTTGGCCACTTTATAATTGCATTAACAGCATATGCTTTAAGTGCAGGAGCTTAGTTTTAAATGGAGACAGTATTTTGTCATTTTCTGGCAACTCCCAAGTAAAACTCAAATTCACATCCCCATTATTAAACAGGGTATAAATAATGCCTGCTTTGTCTAGACTGTGTTAAACATTCTCCTCTATGTCTCGAACATGTACATGATCAAGTAATCGTCAACTAATCTAAAAACTTATTCTGCCGACTCTGCCAAGATACCGTCTATGCCCCTATAAACTTTTATGAAAAAAATTCCACTGAGAACAAGTGGTCCAACTTGAAAGCCCATGCTGTCCTAGCATTCAGCTCAAAGAGCACTATGCTGCTATTACGAATTCCACAAGCTTAAATCTAGCCACAAACAGTAAATTTCGCTATTTTGATTTCGCTTCCTTATACACATTTAACTTTTGTTCTACAATAAAAAAACTGAAAATCTTGGAGGATGCTTGAGCTTTGCTTTCAAAATAGTTGCTTGTTGGGCAAGTTAGTACATACTTAGTAAACTACAAAAGCCACAAAACGTCGAAATCGGAAAAAGCAGAGCAGACCACGTCTCTGCTCTGTTCCTGCTGCTCTGCTTTTTCCAATTTTGATGTTTTGTCATTTTTGTAGTTTACTTTGCTTTTAAGTGTGGAACATGTTAGCGTAATCAGACTGTGTTAGTATTGCCTGCCCAATCGCTAGCTTTGCTTCACTTCTTGGTAAAGAAGACCAAAATTGTGCAGCAAGGAAAGCCAAAGTGTGGACACCCACTGGCTTCAATATTCATGCATTTGGTGCGAAGAAAGCATGGCCACACAACGGGGCAACGCTGTTCAAAAGTGGACCGTAAGCCCTTTGCGTTACCTCACAGGTGATAGGCCAAGCTGTTGGGAAACCTCTGCAATGTGCGTACCACCAACACTACTTGGTGTATATAAATAGCTCGCCATTAGAAGATGTACGTTTAGAGGGCAAGCGGCTAAACGTATCGCACCACGGAAAGAGGGTTCACAGGTTAGAATTTTCGGTTTAACTAGAACCCCGAAAGGTTTTTAATTATTTCTTCAATTAGACGCACTGCAAATTTTCATTCAGAGAGTGCTGCTTTTTCACTCAGAACTAAAAACACTGCCAACATCAGCATTTCAGCGAAATGAGCTCTTTAAAAGGCCACTAAAGAGCAAAACATTTTTTTCCCGTATTAGTAAAGTAAAATTTCACAATCCTGAAAACAACACTCTTACTGCTAAAGTCATTGCTTGGGCGAGTTGGTACAGCATAATTCACATATGACATAATTCACATTCTTACTGCAACATGACGCTTAGCAAGCAAGAAAACACTTGAAAAGAAAATGTGGGTGTAGACGCCACCATAACATTCCCGCACCGAACACCTTGACGTATAGTAAATTTTTAAGGCATCTACTGGGTACTACGTAGCTTCTACTGATAAACATTAAGTAGTACCTCGTGATCTGTAGGTTTCATAGAACTAGCAAACAAGGTATTGGTAAAATCGAGCCGATTTCCCAAAAATATGAAAAAAAAAATTTTGAAATTAGTAACGTCACATGCAGATGTCACTAGTCCCCTTAATTAGGGGAGAAATCGCCGGGCCGATTTCAAGGGCCGACGTGTCAGCCCTCCGAACTGCACCACAAAAGCACTGACAGTTTAGATGTGGTCCTATTTGGCATGCCAGCAGATGCCGGCTGTGGTCCAAAGGACGAGTCAAAGCTGAGAAATGATAAACAAAACAAAAATATATTCTAAAGTATGGCAGATCAAATGATACACAAATATGCACACTCGGCAATAGTTCAGTACAATATGTCACCAATCAAACGACGGACTACACAATACAATTAGCTACACTCAAAACAAAGGACACAAACAACAATACATGCTACAATGCAATCAGATGCATCAAACAACCAAGACACTTAAAGCCTAAAGAGTTCGTAAACTTTCTCAGTCCAAAGTTCTTAGAAACAAAGTTTGAATGATACCTTTCCAGGAATCACTCACTCAAAATCCAGCGCTGTTATCGACCCGCTGCTCCCGATGTTTCTCTTCCAGCAAACCTCGCATCTTCAAATGTCCGCACTCCAAGCGCCAAACTTCTTCGCTGAAAACACGTCGGCTTTCCACTCGCTGCGATTGCAGGATGCGTCTTTGATCGCTGGCGGTGGACACACTGTTCTTCTGCTTGTAGCACAAGCCTTCATCCTTCAGGTGGAAACCCTCCTCATCGCCTGCTTTGTCACTGACGACAAAAGCCCTCGCCCAACGGCAGGACAACTTTACGCACACTGGCGCAAACTTCCTTCTCCTGATCACCACTCTCCGCTTCTCGATTAAATACCTTCGCGTTGGGTTCCAGAAAGTTCTTCAGCACCTTGCACAGCCAAAGCTGAAGAAGAACCGAGACGTTTCTAGTCATTTCTTCGGTGCACTCTGGAAAGGGTGGGATTTCTCTCGTAAGGTGACAGCTCTGCATCCCCACACCCCTTTCCTTCGAGATTTTTCCAGACATTGCTCGGCGACAGATGCAAGGAGGTTGGTCTGCGTATCGCAACACTTTTGAGGTGGGGGAGAGAAGGCATGCGTGCAGTGCCTTTTTTGATACATGTTTTCTTCTTTGCTGCAGCTCGGCCGCGTCTGTCTGGCACCTCTATTTCTCGTAGCAGCTACAATTCGGAGGCGCGCGCTTTGTTGGGCGCTCGTTTGTGACAGCGGAGCTTTCGGCACCAAATTCAAAAATTAATCTTCAACCTTGATTCGCTCTGCTAATAACAAACTTATGACAGTCGAACTTATGGTTTCAGAGTTCTTATAGTGCAGTTTATCAATCTAAATCCAATCAATATTTCTCTGTAGTGTCCCTTTAATGATATCACATTAAAAACCATTAAAAAATTACAGATATGTGTGAAATTCTGCCTTATGAGTAAATAAGCTTCTATCTTTGATACCAGGGAAGTTGAATTATTCAGTGCCATGTCATCCAGATCCACCCTGCTACTCTGGCATCTGCTATGTCTGTTTGCACATTAACTCTAACACGTGTAACAAAGTGCTCAGTTGCGAGTCCAGAGTCACGTTGTCTAAATACTTGTCCGTTGTTTACTTTGGACAGTAAATTCAAAGATGCATTCTTAATACTACTTTTAGGTGCTTATTAATAAAAAAGGCAGGCCATTTAAATTTTTTACCAAAAAACCATAAGGACTCTGCAGACAAATAAAGTTTTTTCATTCCATTCCATTCTGTAGACCAAATGCTTACTGCACAAAAACCAGGTAGACCACTGTGCCCAACAAAACCACACTCACCAAGACACAATTGCAATTTCTAAATAATCACATATCAACATACCACACATCATTCCATCCTTTATGCAGGACCCTAAGTTTCTGAATTTATAGATTTTATTGTTAACAAAACACCTACATTTTCTAACAAAACCATTTTGGTAACAGAGCTTACTTGTACACATATATATTTATTAACGTACCGAACTGGTCTCAATATCACCCAATGCAACACAAACTTTTACGGTAAATTAATAAAATAATGATCTCATGAAAGAAAATCCCCTTGTTAGCATCGGTTCCAGTAATGTTCACTGTTTGACAACTTTACATTCCTTTGATTGATATGTGGGGTTTAACGTCCCAAAACCACCATATGATTATGAGAGACGCCGTAGTGGAGGGCTCCGGAAATTTTGACCACCTGGGGGTCTTTAACGTGCACCCAAATCTGAGCACACGGGCCTACAACATTTCCGCCTCCATCGGAAATGCAGCCGCCGCAGCCGGGATTCGAACCCGCGTCCTGCGGGTCAGCAGCCGAGTACCTTAGCCACTAGACCACCACGGCGGGGCAACTTCACATTCCTTTAAGCTTTGATATTGCCCTGGTATCATGTCTCGGTCTGATTACTAAGTAGATGGAGACACTTACATCTGACTCCTGCTTCAGTGGCTCCTCATCGGTAGACACATTCTCAGCCCTGTCTGTCTGGTCTTCAGCTTCATCATAAGGATTGGTTAAGTCAGCATCATGATGACTACTCCTTCTGTCATGGATCCCTCGTCTCACCAAGTGTTCCTCATGCTGTTTCCTCGAGCTCATTGCTTTCCTGGATAAAGGTGCGAAAAATGTACTGTGTAGCCAACAAAACATTTTTTAAGAAATAAAGTGTACGGGTGCTGTTAGACAACAATGTCATTACTTTTATCATTGTAAGTTTTGTGAAATTCCAGGCTTATTCATATGCCAATGACTTGCGTTCTCCATCAAATGAACCCGTAAATTCACAATTACCCTCCCACCAACTATTTACTTCATTGTATTTACACTGATTCAGCTGAAGGTCAATTCAAATGTGCTAGTATATGTTATATCATAGATAAGTTTAGATCCACTAATAAAACATTTTAAAAGAAATGTTGCAATTTATAAGCAGGCACTTTTAAAGGAGTACTGACACAATATTTTTCAGTTTAATTTTCTTTGTCTTTCTAATTTTTTCTATTTGAGGGCACACTTGTGGTAATTGTTCACGTGCTTACCAATATGTGCTGACCAGTGGTAAGTGCTCACGCATCGGCCTATACCTGAAACATCTTAAAATAGCTTAGATGAAATATACTTTAATTATGTCATTAATTATCATTTATCAAAAGTCAAACACAGTGCCTCTATACTGTATTACAGGCCATCACCTTCATTATAATTCTGCCCCTAGGGACTAAGAAGCGGTTCAATATAACGTGCCCTTACATGATCCAAGGGGGAAGATACTGTTCCATAAAGAAAGCACGAATGCCCCATTTTGACATTCTATACAGCAGCGTTACTAAAACAAGTGGTAAGGAGTTGTGTGACATGCACCATTTGCTGCTGAAAAGCCCCCGCAGGAACCTCGAGCTGACTTGCTATGCAGTGAAGGCAAAGCAAAGGCATGCTTCGTACCACCTTGTGACTCTTCAGCTGGGAAATTTTTTTTTTCTCTTATTACAAAATCTACTCTTTTGAAACTTTCTGCTTATCTTACTAACAAACTATATTACGCAACAATATAAAAGCCACATTTTTGCTTTTACCACTACATTAAGAAAAATTAAGCCGCAATATGAGTCAACATGCCATTTTTCCCAATTTGCCACAATATTTTGGCAATACTTTGCTTCACTTGCTCCTGAAGTATTTTAATCATTCAATATAGAAACATATAAAGTAGAAATCGTAAAAATATTACCAGAGAAAAATTTGTGCTTTTAATAAAGAAACGGTAAACGTACCGCATATTGAAAATTTTTGCCAAAGCAATAAAGAAAGTAAATCAGAACACAAATTATTATTATTCAGAATACTGTCAATCCCGTGATGGGATTATTACAGGAGTGCTGTCATATTGTTCATTGTAAAAACAAGCAATACACAGACTAAAAATATATGTTGCAAGCACTAGAAATTTATAGAAAATATCTCAAACATAGTGCAAAATTTGCCATAGTGGTAGGCAAAGAGTCTTTATGAATATAAACATCAGATGAATTGCTGGGGCAAGCAAAAAACAAATGCAAAACGTAATTGTACAGAAAAACTTGCGACATCATCGATTCAGGAAATCACGGCTAAATAAAAGTCAGCACACTTTCACTTGCTCGATTAACAAATTTATCAACTGTCGGCTGTGTCAACACGGTGGGGTGCAGGGCATTCCAAGCGCGTATGGCTCGGGGAAAAAAAGAGTGGCCAAAAACCTTGCTCATGAAGGGATACTCATCAAGTGGGTGAAAATGCTTATTTCGTGTTTGGCGCTTACAGTTAAACTTAACATAATTAGCCGGATTTATTTTTAAAGAGTTGTGTAGAACCAGATACAAAAATCTCAGACTATGAAGCTTGGCGCGGCTCGCCAGGGTGGGCAGATCTGCTCTTATCAAAAGAGCAGTAGGCGAGTTAGTACGCCTATAACGGTTATAAATAAAACGGACTGCTTTAGGTTGTATTCTTTCAAGCGAGGCTACATGTTTGTTTGTGAAGGAGAACCAGGCCACACTCGCATATTCGAGGATTGGGAGGAGAAGCATGGTATACACTAAAAGTTTTGTTTGGGGTGTCGAATGACGAAGGGTTCGCTCAAGAAAAAATAACCTGCCGAGTGCCTTCTTTGTAATATGTTCGACATGCGCAGTCCAATTTAAGTCAGACGATATCAAGATGCCTAGATATTTGCAGGCAGCGACGTTGCGAAGTGGGACATTTCCCAGAGAATACGAAAAATTTGCCGTCGTTTATTTCTTTGTTAATGACATGGCGACAGTTTTCTTCGTATTTATTTCTTTTTGCCACTCTCGACACCAGGTTTTGACCATTTTTAGCGAAATATCTAGTTTTAAATGATTCTGGTAGCTGTCTATTCGCTGGTACAGGATACAATCATCTGTGAACAATCTGATTTTTACATCGGCTACGTCAGCAACGTCATTAATAAAAAGAAGAAACAACATGGGGCCTAAAACAGAACCCTGGGGCACTCCCGATAATACTGGAACCGTGTCAGACACATGTGCACCATATTGAACAAATTGGTAGCGGTCGGTCAAATAGTTTTCAATCCACTTGGTCATAGGTCCGTTTCCCAGTATACTGGTTAGCTTTTGGATCAGTTTGGGATGAGAAACGCGGTCAAAAGCTTTCGACAAATCTAAAAAAACTACATCAATCTGCGATTGATCGTTAACGCCACTGGCAAGGTCTCAACGAGCTGTGTGACAGTAGATAGTCCGCGACGAAAACCATGTTGATTGGAATGGAGAATAGCATTTTCTTCCACGTATTCGGTAAGGGACGTTAGAATAATATGCTCAAGCATTTTGCAGGAAGTACACGTAATAGAAATTGGTCTGTAATTAGATGGACCAGACGAGTCACCACTTTTGTGAATGGGAAGAATTTTTGCGATTTTTCATTCCAATGGAACCTGGCAATTCTTGAACGATTTGGAAAATATAAGAAAAGGTATTTACACACAGATTCAGCGTAACGCTTTAAAAACGCATTGGGAATCCCGTCGGGTCTACTATCTTTTTTCCGATGAATGTTCAATAAAAGTGATAGCAAACCCGGCTCAGGCAATTGAGGCAAGCCTAAAGCACTTAAGTTTTTATCCCGAAACAGAAGCGGCGTATGCTTACCATTGTCAGCTGTGAAGACAGACTAGAAGAAAGTGTTAAATGAGTTAGCTTTCAATAATTCCTGCTCCACTGAAACAACAGTAGGGAGGTTGTTTTTTGAACCAAGATATTGCCAGAACTTCTGGGGCGACTCTCTTATAAACTTACTTAGTGTTGTGCTGCAGAAGTTCACTTTGGCACTACGGATTTTTACCCTCAATGACCGACACAAGCAAGCGATTTTTTCTTGGAACCCGTCTACTGGGCTTGATTTGTTTGTCTACTGGGCTGATTTGATTTTCTTAGTCTATTTATTTTACGTTTAGTATGAATGATGTCACGTGTGATCCAAGGATTGTGTTTTTTTGTGACTTTTGCAACCTGCGGAACATATTTGGTCATACAATGAGTCATAACAGCTTTAAATTTAGCCTAAATTACGTCAATCACCAAGGACTCAACAGCACATATATCAAGAAAGTCGTCAAATTCATGCTCTAAATACGTCATAACTGCAGCGTCATCGGCTTTGTGAAACGCCGGGACAGACTTAACCGGCCCTCGCATGCGAGCGGGGCATTGTACAGGCAGGCTGCATGAAACTATTTTGTGATCAGATAACCCCTCCAGGGTTTCCGTTAAAAATATCCGTTGATGGGAAATGATCACTGACAAAGATAAGATCTAGTAAAGGACTAGACTACCATTATTCACGGGTTGGCGTGGGAACAAGTTGTGTGAGATTAAATGACAAAAGATAATCGCTTAAAAGGTCGTTCCTAGCTGTTCCTGTACTCAGACGTTCCCAATTTACATCGGGCAGATTGAAGTCACCGGCCATGATAACAGCGCCATAAAGATTCCAGATAGCCAATTGCGCTTGCGGGGGTCTGTATACCGCACCAATAGATATGGTGACACCATTTAGGGAAACCCTACACCATACCGCTACGACGTCCGGAGCATCTGGCATGACTGAAAAGCTTATGCCTTGTCGTAAAACAATGGCAACGCCCCCACCTCTGTGCTGTATCTTTGCGAACAATCACGTAGTTAGGCGGGACAACTTCGCGGTCCAATATTTCTTTGTGCATATTAATAAACTATAAAAAATGAATAAACTATAAAAAAAATTTTCACATTAACTACTAAAGCAGTATTATTACATATATTAGCTGGCATGACACAGTTTCACTTGGGTGCCAAAAGTTTGAAGCACTCTCTGGGCAACGAATTTTTTTTTCGCAAAATAGAGCGCCTTAATAAGTACTTCTCACATTCACATATAGACCGTTTTCATGAAAAGAAGGAGCATAGCCTCAAACCGGTGCATTTTCATCCTTCTCTCTCCACCGGCCATTCTGCCACCACCAGTGATGTGTGGAGATTGCTGCGTTTTGCATGCTCGGCGCGTGAAAGGTCAAAGTGTTTGTTTTTCTTTTTTTTTGATGCACTAAAGCAGTTGTACTGCTGGAAATCGAAATATCGGACGAGAACAGGTCGACAGGCTACCGGGGCACTGTGTTTGGCACAGCAGGAACAACTATCAAAAGCACAAAAGGCTGGCAGCAGAGACATGAGAGGTGCACCTCCCCTTGAAATGACTTTACTTAGGTCACAGACCTCATTCTGCAACAAATACTTTAGTACATATGTTGTCTGTCCTTGTGCTCATTTCTTCATTACACCAGTTTGTGATTTTGGTGAGGTGCTGGTACACTTCACCATCGGCAGTAAAAAGAAGCAATGTCAAAGCTGACGGCTAATACAGAAAATGTTTTGTCCAGAATTCCTCTGCTGTAACATCAACATCCCCCCTTTCTATGCAACAGCACATGAGTTACAATGCCTGCAGCTACCAAAATCTAACCGCATGCAATATCAAGGTTATCGAATGAGCACTTTCCAAACTGCATGGCAGAAAGGCCCACATGACATAAGTGTTCTTTGGCTG